AAAAAAAACCCAATGGCGGACGAATTGAGCGAGCGGTTTTACCTTTAAATATTTGTATCATGGTTTTAATCCATGATACAAAAAAGGAGGTAGTTTCAATAAACAACTTTTGACGGATAATACAATTTTTTGAAGTTTCATAAATTGTGAGTATACTCAGCGGCCTTGCCACTTTGATAATAGTAAAACAATAAATCGGAGTATTTTCTTTCCCATATTTATACCAATATAATAACATTTCAAATCAAAAACCATTATCAGTGCTTTGTACTTTTTTTTACTTACGTGGTCGCACCTTTTTTTTATTAAAAATATTTAAAATGTAAACTGTTAAAGGAGGCTTCATCCATCGCATTATTCTGTTATTTTTTTGTTTTCTTATTTTGAATGCAATCTTCAATCTTGCGATTTAAAAATCGAATCCTAAAAAATGTTCTTCCCAAATGAAAACTTTTTGTATTTCGGTTCAAATTTACTTTTAAATTTTTCATAAGATTTTGCAAAAAATTAGGCTTTGTGATTAACGCATCATCATTAAATTTCACAAATTTTTAATTTATGCAAAACACCTGAAGTCGGCTTGAACAGACCGTCCTCTGATAAACAACTAACAGATCGCCGCTTAAAGTACAAAACTGTGTATTAACAAAATGCACCACTGCGTATGTGAGGTTGCATAAATTATTTTGTAGAGAGTAAAAACACTCATATTTCAAAATAATTTTTACAAAGAAATCGCATTTCAAGACGAATGGATAAGGCTTGAGCCAATCGCTTGTGTGAGAAAACCAATTTTCGGCAAAAAATGTCAGTTACGCGGTTTTCCTGAGCGACGACATGTACGTATACACTTTCTTCATGCTTTCTGAAACCTAGTCAACCCCATTTTCGAAATCATGTAGCCGGCATAATTTTCTAGTTCATCATATTCCACATCTTTGAATGTACTGATAAAATCTTCTGCTTAAAAAAAACAAAATATTTATTCTACACCTTTTCAAGTTTATAGTGAGAAAATGTAAATTCATATTGAGAAATCCCAAATTGATAATGAGAAGCGTAAATTCATATTGAGAAAATACAAATTGATAATGAGAAATATAAACTCATATTGAGAAAGTGCAAATTGATAATGAGAAATATAAAATCATAATGAGAAAATAAAAATTGATAATGGGAAATATAAATTCATATTGAGAATAT